TTTTTCACGTAGACTTTTCTGAATCTTATGCCTTGTTTGGTAGATCCTCTTCTGGTTCTGATTCTTAAGACGAATTCTCTAGAACAAGCGGTTCCACAGCCAAAAACGAATCTCTAGGATTAACTCTATGCAAAACTGATTACCCGTGGAAAATGAATCAACAAAAAATATCAGGGTCGATAATGCTGCTGCTGCTGCAGAAGTAGCGAAAGTGAGCGAGTCAGTTTTTTAGCTCCTAGCATCCTAGTTTATTATTTTAGACAATAACTCCACGTAACTCAACTCTGGCCATGGGTGTGATTCTCTATCACAAAAGTTTTGTAGAGCTTCCCTTAGAATTAGCATAAGAGTTGAATAGGGAGTTTTGCCAAACAAACACTTAAAATGAGAAAATCAATATGAAAACTATATGGTAATATCCCTCGAATCCTAGAAGCAAAATTCTATGAAGACTCCCACACATTGGAAACAGTGCAAACAAGTTTTATCCCCATGAAACTCATTTCATCCCATGAAATTTTTATCTTATATCTCTTCATCGATACTATGACATATCAACTTATTTCATGCCCATGAAATTCTCATGAAACCCAATTGAGACTGGCCTAAATTACTAATAGGTGGTTGGCACCTATGGCCCCACCTATTAGCGGCTCAAAAGCCGCTAATGAAATTAATAGATAACAGGTCCTTAGCTAACAGTTAGTTTGTCTATTAGCAAGTGTGTTTGGATCCACTAGGATTAATCTTAGCTACTAACTATTAGCACTAGTGGATTGAAATTGGGTTTGAACCTTTAATTAACACAAATTTTGAACACAAAATCAGAACTTATTTTGCAGATGTCTAAGTTCATAGCCGTCAAAATTCTTTTTGAAAAGTGATTCTTTTGGAAGGCAAATAATAATTTGTTTAACATGAGAAATAATAAAAAGGCGAATTTTCAAAGCATAAACCACAACCGGGCTGAAACCGCTACAAGTTTGAATTTGTAAATGATAATAAGCCCACTTGATATGTTAATGCATCTTTCTTCTCCCTTTGTCGTTTTTGCAACAAAGATTTGACCTGTTCGCTTGAACTTACTGAAAGGTGACCGTGACATCTAAGAGAAGGGTGAGTTAGGCAACTTAAAAACCTATTTCTAAACTATGGCCTCTTTTTCTAACCTTAGCAAAACCTATGCAAAAGATAAACTATCTAAATGTGCAACTACGATTTTGCTAGTGTGTTGCTATCTCTACCGCAAAACGGAGTAATGCAAACAATGTAGATTTCGACGACTCCAAAGTATTTTTACCGATGTAAGAGCGCAAGCTTCTCGTAGGCACCTCGGAAGAATGGACAAGGGTAAAGTGGATATCGGGCCTCCCCACGCCGCAGAATTGCCTTCCTTTCTCTCGGATGCTCCCTCCGTCTTCACTATCCGAAACGTCGCGGGCCTTGTTTCTATACGGGCTCAAACACGGTTGGTTGATCTCAAGACTACAAGCGATGTACAACAATGGTGCGTGCAAGCACCGAAGTGGTCATCGCAACCTTGGCCTAAACCTAGGTTCATAAGCGGTGGTCTAATCAAGACAAAAGCAAACCTTAATCACCTAATGAAACACTAAGCACTATGCAAATTGAAGAAAAATGGTGTATCAACACCCTTGGTATGTTTGAAGTTTCAGTCCATCACTTAGGGACGCTAAGAAAGTAAGAAGAATCGTCCGATCGAACTCCGATCAATGACAGATTCGCCGCTCTGGAAGGCATGCTTCAACTAAAGTACTCCGTACTCACCTAGATTGAGCGCTTTTCGTGCCACGTCATTCCTTCATTGTGAGCTCGTTTCTTCACGATCTTACGTGTGGCTTGGTTGCTATCTTCATGCTTGGACTTTGCTTGATATCTTGGGTCTTCTCTTGTGCTACTAAGGTTTTGCTTGAGGTGTTGATCATCGGATCATCACGTCGCCTTTGTCCAAGTCACGTCTTGCATTCTATTGAACTATAAAACAATCACTTGCAAATTCATTAGTCCAATTTGGTTGTGTTGGTCATCAAGCACCAAAATCCAAAGTAAATGGGCCTAGGGTCCATTTTCCTTACACTTATCAGCCGATTTATCAGCTAGAATCTACAGTATTTTTCTCTCACAACAAAACAGTTTTAGCCGGATTATCAGCCGGCTTTAATACCAGCCGAACAGGCCCCACTTCGGATTGGACCGGGCTAAAGAAAATGCCAGAATTGTTCCTTTTAGGCCAAAAACTTCTATACAGGCTCAACTTTACAAGGCTACCAGACTGAATCATCGAGTTGGGCCGGTTCATTTCAGACGAAACCTGGGGCATTGAAATGACACTTCCAGTCCATCACTTAGGGATGCTATTTTCAAGAAAAATCTAACTGAAATGACAGCGGGCATGCAATAAGGTACTCCGTACTACCTAGATTACACACGAAAAATAAACTAAAATAAAAAATACGATATTATATCCAAACCTCTTTCACCATTTTCTTCCTACTGTTTTTTTTCTTGATATAGCCAATGCTCACATCATATCTGAAACAATAAAGAACATTGGCACTTACATCGTCAATCTAGCATAGGTTGCAAACTTTGGACTCATCTGCTTCTCATCCCCTCCCCCGCATCCATCTACTTCGCCACCGTCACAGCCTTCGCTACCGCATCGGCTGGTGTCAACCATAGAGGCGTGCACCATGGCACAGCCTACACCTCAGCAACCTCCCTCGTCCTTGTTGTGCTTGTCAACACCCCTCATGTAGAGAGGTATGGGCGCCCCGAGCTCAACGTCTTGTCATCCGCCATCAACAAACTGTCGTCTCCCCTCCACCTGCTCTTCTTCCTCCTTAGACATTCCTAGATACCTTCGTTGGGCATGGCACCGCAGGCGATGATGCCAGGAGGACACCTATCTTCTACATTGGCGGTGATGACGACGCAACAGGTGACAACGATGGTGCATGGTGGTGCTGCTTTACAGAGCATGGGCGTGAAGTAACTAGAAGAAGAGGAAAAATTTATTCGTTACGGTCGCATCGTAAGCCTACAATAGACTTGTCGGAAACTTATAGGATGAGTTTACAATAGCTAAGGTGCATCACTGCTGCGATATTTGTTGTTTAATGCTGCACTCTCCGTTCTAAATTATAAGATGTTTTGTCTTTTTTAGATACATTGACTTTAGCTATATATATATCTAAACAAATGTATCTGAGAAAGCCAAAAACATCTTATACTAATTAGAATGGAGCAAGTACTTTTTTAATACACTGTGACTGCCCTTAGAGTCTGGAACTGTTTAGTCATGAGTTGTCAGATGACAATTTTGACCAACTAAGGAGGTTCCTTCTTGCCGCCTTGTTCGCTTGGGCTTGTTTGACTGATAAGTCACTCTGAAAAGTAAAAATGTGAGAGAAAAAATCCGGACTTATAAGCCAAACAAACCAAAACGAACAAAGTGGTTACCTCAGAAAATGTTCCGGATAAACAGCTATGACGTTTCTCCTTTATTATTAGTACAAATACCACTAGCTACATAGTAGGAGTCGATCTTTACACGGGAGTACCTATTTGAACTCTATCTGACTTAGTACAAACCAGGTAGGACAGGACTACTCATTTAGCCCCAAATTCTATTACTACTTTTCGAGAATCCACCCACGGTCACTGGCACACTTGAAGACACCGCAAATCCACGAGCTCTTCAAAAAATAACGCTACCGAGAGGGATCGAACAGGGGACCTCCTATCTGAGCATAGCATTTAAAGTTTTTGTTGGATAGGTGATACCCACAACCCTATTTAATAAGGGGAAACAAGAAAAAATACCCCTTAATTAATCACTCATTGGTATGCTAAATCATATCCTAAACGACTTTCTTTATCAGTATGGAGGGAGTATTTATGTAAGTTTTGAACCTTTTAAATGTATTATCGTAATTTGGTTAATTTATAGCTATGTTTGCCGAACTTTTTGTTTGGATTTTATAGTATTAAACATGAATTTTTTTTACTAGAACTACCCTGGTCTCAGATCCAGGTTCACCACTGTCTGGACTACAGACCGTGACAATTTTAGCAGCATCCATTACACTGGCACACTTGATGCCATGGCACACTTGATGCCAGGGGCGGAGCTAGGATTTGAGCATAGGGGGTCCGTACAAACCGGCAACAACCATGCATGCCAAAATGTATACACGCGATAAAGATGTACATAACACACAAATAAACGTTTATGTTGCGATACAAAAGAAAGCAGAAAAAACTAAAAAAATGAAGGGAGTTTAATTAGCCTCATGCCTCTAACCTTTACCTGATCAATCTAATTCTTTGATTGAAAAAAGAATTACGGTAATAACAAGTAGTTAAACAGGGCCAAAACTAATTAGCACTAGATCCTAAATGTTAAATGGCAAACCATCAGTCACTTGTCGTACCACTATGTAGCATTTAAATTTTAAATATTGACCAAACTCGCTAATGCCAATTGAAGATCAATTTTGAAGGATTAAACAAGAAAAAGCACTGATTTCAATTAACTAGCTAATTAGAGTATGTGGTATGGGGACAAATTAATGTTTGATAAGCAATAATGAAAACAAAAAGATATGGAGAAAATATTAGAAAGACCTAATTTTTATTTATCTAAAATACTATTAGATATTAATATGGAGTAAGAAAAAAAAATTATAGTACTAATAGTATCATTAACTAGCTAATTAGATAATTAAGCACCTAATTTAGGGGGTGTATTATGGGAGTTATGGGAAGGTTCAGGGTCCCAGGCCCCCCTCAGCCCCCTTCCCTCCGCCACTGCTTGATGCCAGTTTCTACTTTCTAGATAGTATCGCTGACGGAGCAAAATTAGCAACGGGTCGCTTTGTCCGAAAGGTGATGTTTGTACTTAACACACCCTGCCCAATCATCAGCATAGTTGCCTCCGACCCGCCGCTGACTCCAATCGGACCTTGGCGTCAAGCTCAGTCCCATGTCCCATGTGGTTCAGAATTCAGATGTGATACTGACACATGCATGTCACCAACACACCCTGCCCAATCATCATCGTTGTCGCCGCCGACCCGCCGCAGACTCCAATCTGACCTTGGCTTCGAGGTCAGTCCATGTCTCCACATGTAGTTGAGACCGACGAGCAGCTCCGTCACGGCGGCCTCCGTCTTCCTCTGGTCCGCGAAGTGGAGCGTCTGCAGCAGCAGCACGGTGGCGTCGTCGCCGGAGGCCACGTTCCGCTGCTCGAAGTTCCGCTCGGCCTGCCACCGGACCATGTTGTGCGCGAGCGGCGCGAGCCACGCCAGGATCCTCCGCACCGTGTCCGACCACTGGGCGGCGAGCACGGAGTCGTCGCAGGGCGGCGTCGTGGCGGCGAGCGCCGCCGGCCGCCTGAGCCGCGCCCTGAGGGACGCCCGGATCCGGTCGGTAAGCATGCCGTACAGCGCGTCCCTCTCGTCGGGGCAGATGTGGAGCGGCGACGCGGCGAGCTTCTCGATGAACATGATGAGGTTGGCGTAGTGCAGCGCCAGGGCCGCGGCGCCCAGGGACGACTCCGGCGGGTGCGTCACCACGTCGCGCGAGGAGGAGGCGAACACGGCCGTCGTCGTCGTCGTCGAGTGCCTCCTCCTCGCGTCGCCGCCGGACGCCGCTTGGCAGTGGAAGCTGATGATGCCGCTGCCGCTGAAGTCGTCGGCGGCGCTGCCGGCTGATGATACGTAGCTGAAGCTCAGCGGGAGATGAGCTGCGTCGTCCGCGTGGTTCCATCCGTCCCTGCCTGGAGACCTGCTGGGATCCATGACGACGCAGCCGATGAGGTGCTTGCCGGCCGCCCCCGGCCACCTGAGGCTCTTGCTCCTGGACATGAAGAACCGACGCGCGTCGCCGGCGCCGGTGGCGGTACCCTTGCCGGACCTTGTACGCAGCAGCATCGTCTTCCGAGGCGCGTCAGCGGCTGCGGCGATGACGGCGTCGGAAGGGTACACCATGGACTGCAGCTGCATGCTGCCGCTCACGAACGAGGTGCTCCACGAGAGCCGCGAGGCCCTGGACGACGCCTCGTCGTCGTCGCCCACGGAGGCAGAGGTGGAGAGTAGCAGGGCCACGGGCTCCAGGTCGAACACCTCGATGATCCTGGCCACGATGGTGAAGAGCGACCTGGCGAGCAGGCGAACGGCGTAGTCGAAGGTCCGCGCCCACAGCGACGCCGCCCGGAGGCGCTCCACCTCCTGCCTCTGCCTGGCCACGCGGCGCGCGCACTCGGCCCGGCTGCTGCTCCCCGCCGCCACCGCCGCGGCGCCCTTGGCGCCGCCACGGGCGCGCGGGCGGTAGGTCTGCTGCTGCTCCAGCTCGGCGAGCACGTCGAGCTCGTGGCACAGGTGCGCGGTGGCAGCCACCAGACGCTGCATCTTGCGCGCCTTGCGGTCCATCTTCTTGGCCGCGGCGTACCGCATCCCGTGCGGGTCGCCGCCGCCACCGGCGCCGCGCTTGACGAGCGCGGCGAAGAGGGCGTCGAAGCGGCGGAGCAGCGGGTCGGCGCAGCGCGCGGACAGGCGGGACACGTCGCGGGAGAGGTCGCGGCACGCCGCGGCCATCTCGGCGAGCGCGAGCGCCAGGAGTGCGGAGTCGTCGTCGGCCACGAGCCGCCGCACGCCCTCGAGGCGGATGCCTTCCCCGCGGAGCCGCGCGAGGCTGTCGGCGTCCAGCGCGCGCCACAGGCCCGCGGCGCGCGACATCAGCGCCGCCACCTCGAGCGCCAGCACCCCCACCTTCTCCCCGCCGCCCCGCGGCACGCTCAGCTTCCGCATCCCCTCGACCCCTCCCCCCGCGGTCGGAGCCTCGGAGTGGGCGTGGTTGGGCTATCTGTGGGGTGGGTGGGGGACTGGGGGTCAAAAGGCGTCTGCCTGCGCGCCAACGGCTTTGGTGGTGGTGGGGTGGGCGAGGAGGAGCGTAGGAAAGCTGCAGCGGCGTTGGCATCGGTAGTGTCACGGGGTTGTGCAGTGGGCAGTGTGGTGGCGAGTGGGTGGGAGTTGAAACCGAGCGCGGCGGCATCGCATCGCCAGGGGATTATTCTGCGCTTCGGGCGCGGCAATGGGCAAGTTGGCAGGCGGGTTTCTGCGGGATTCCGCGGGTCGGTAGAGGGCGTCGTCGTCCGGGTGCAGGCTGCTGCAGGCAGACAGGCTGCGCGGCCCGGCGTGTCTCCGTGCGGGTGTCGGCCGCGGGGGTTCCAATGATTGGCCCTTTGGAGCCTCGATGGGTGGCTATATTCTGAGCTGGTCCTTTGGAGACCTCTGTGTTGTCCATGCGTCACGACTCACGAGCTCGCGCCCCACGGCACGTACGACTGCTCGCGTGGTTTCGATGCAGCAGCGCCGTTTGACGATTTGCTCGTGTCTCGTATGGAGTACAGCAACAAACGCACGCGTAGGACGCCCCGTGTGTCGCAGTCCTTGATTTCCGGGTGACACTCACGCCGGCCGGAGAAACGACGGAGTGGAATCGTGTAGTACACAAAAGGTTGGACTTGCCGGCAGTTAAGCAGCTACGATCCAATCCAGACGGCTAGCTGCCAACATGCTGGCAACATATGTCTGCGCAGGCATGTCTTCGAGACTGTACCCAGCAGAACGCCGTATGGTTGCGGAAGCGCTGCAGGATCGGTCATGGATTCGGGACAATCAACTAATCAAGCGTGCCCTGACTGCTGTCAAAAGTGTTCGACGCATTCACAGGGTTTGGAATTTGTATAGCCAATTGTAAGAAAGCAATTTGGGAAGAATGACCGCAGCTTGTATTTCACTCATTTGGGGTATAAGTACAGGAGCACAGCTCTGGCTAGTCACGAATGAATACATGCAGATCCTACAGAGAAGGAATGAATACATGCAGATCCTACAGAGAAGGAGAGGTGGAGAGTGGCTGGTCGTTTACAAATATGAACGGATGAGAGCTATCCTAGCTAGCCTATACTTGTTCGTTGACACCCCTGCAGTTTGAGCATCGGTTGTCCGAATGCATAAACTGGACTTAAACTCTGTAAACAGAGGTGTTGGCAATCCCTTGGTCATTATGTCAGCTAGTTGATGCCGAGTTGGAATCTGCAGAACTCTGAATTGACCAAGTGCTACCTTCTCTCTGACAAAGTGAATGTCCAGTTCAACGTGCTTCGTTCGTCGATGATGGACTGGGTTTTGAGATAAATATACAGCTGATATGTTGTCACAGTAGATGGCAGTGGCCTTCCTGACGTCAACATGAAGCTCGTGAAGTAAATTCCGTAGCCAGCAACATTCTGCAGCGGCATTAGCCACCGCCATGTACTCAGCTTCTGCACTTGACAGGGAGACGGTCGGTTGTCTCTTTGATGACCATGAGACAAGCGAGTCCCCAAGGAAGACGCAGTAGCCCGACGTCGACCGTCTGGTGTCCGGACATCCGGCCCAGTCGGCATCGGAGTAGGCTGTGAGGTTGTTCGACGGTGAAGTGGAGATGAAGATGTCGTCGCTGATAGAGCCACGAAGATACCTGAGAATTCTCTTGACGAGGTTCCAGTGAGCAGCACAAGGAGAGTGCATGTACAGGCAAGCTTGATTGACTGCATAGGCTATGTCTGGGCGCGTAAGAGTCAAGTACTGCAATGCGCCTGTGATGCTTCGGTAGAACGTGCCGTCAGCTGCTGGTTCCCCAGCAGCAGCGGACAGCTTCTGCTTGACGTCGACTGGAGTGGAGGCGGGCTTGCAGTTGGCCATGCCCGCTCACTCCAAGATGTCCTCCGTGTACTGAGCCTGTGAGAGGGAGAAACCAGTGGCGTCTCGACGAACCTGAACACCAAGGAAGAAGCGCAGGTCGCCAAGGTCCTCAATGGCGAACTCTCGACAGAGTTGTTGGACTATGTGTCGAAGCAGCGACGGCGATGACGCAGTCAAGATGATGTCATCCACGTAGACCAGGAGGTAGGCCATGGCATCTCTTTGCTTGTAGACGAACAACGATGTGTCGGATCCCGTCGAAGCAAATTCGATGGATCGGAGGTGGTTGCCTAGACGCTGGAACCATGCCCACGGTGCCTTTTTGAGTCCGTATAGAGACTTAACAAGGAGGCAGACGTGATCCGGATGCAGCTCGTCGACGAACCTAGCCGGTTGATGGCAGTACACCTTCTCAGCCAAGTCGTCGTGTAGGAACGCGTTCTTGACGTCGAGTTGGTGCACTGGCCACTGTCGTGTGGCGGCGAGGTGGAGGACCGTGCGAATGGTGGAGGGCTTCACCACCGGCGAGAAGGTCTGGTGAAAATTGACCCCTGGGCGTTGGGAGAACCCACGGACGACCCACCGAGCCTTGCGCCGTTCTAGAGTTCCATCCGGGTGAAGTTTGTTCTTGAAGATCCATTTGCCGGTGATGATGTTGGCGTTGGGCGGTCGAGGCACGAGTGTCCAGGTTCCATTGGCCTGGAGGGCGTTGAACTCCTCCTTCATGGCCGCGATCCACTCGGGATCACGTAAGGCGGTGCGAACGGAAGTCGGTGGAGTTGTCGGTGAAGAGGTTGTAGCAACGTGTGCGTACTTCGGATTTGGCACGCGGATCCCGTCGCGCCTGCGTGTGACCATGTGGTGCCTGGTTGGAGCCGTTGGTGGAGGGACCGAGTCGGGGGTCGCGGTCGCAGATCAGGTCGACACCAGACTCGGTCCTGGCGCCGTGGAGTCCGGGGGCCCTCTGGAGGACGGGGTCTCAGGCGGATGAGAACCCAGCTGTGGACCCGGTGCTTGATCCGCAGGCGGTGGAGTTGGGGCAGGCGCGTGCGAAGTGGTGGGCGACGTCGAGGCTTGTGGTGCACCCGTGTGGTGCGTGGTATGCGGGCGACGCACCACTGGTAGTGGGAGCACCTCGGGAACGCAGGGTGGGCGCTGGTGTGCTGCTGCTGAACTTGTGTCGTTCATCTGCGCAAATGGAAAACACGTCTCGTCGAAGTAAACATGACGAGAGATTAGAACGCGTTTGGTCTCGGGATTGTAACACTTGTAGCCGCATTGATCATTGGGATAGCCTAGGAAAACACAACGAGCAGAGTGGGCGCTAGCTTATGTGGAGCGGTGGCTTCAGTGTTGGGGTAGCAGAGGCAGCCGAAAATCCGTAGGTGAGAGTAAGAAGGTGGAGTACCGAAGAGTAGAGCATAGGGCGTGTCATTGCAGCGGGGGCGACAAGGGCGCCGATTGAGCAAGTAGGTGGATGCCGCAAGGGCATCAGGCCAGAACGTGGGAGGGAGGGCAGCCTGGAACAGGAGGGCACGGACACCGTCATTGATGGTACGCAGAACCCGTTCGGCACGCCCATTCTGTTGGGACGTGTAGGGACATGTCAGCCGCAACACAATGCCGTGTTTGGCATAGAACGCACGGGTTAGTGCACGCACAGAGATAAGATTCTTCACCAATTGAGGAACAATCAAAACATTGTTGAGACGCAAGGAGGAAGAAACAGTGGGAATAATGGAGGTGCCAGTGCACGAAGATGTCATATGGTTGCCGTTGCCGACAACAATATGACGAGGAACAGTAGACGGTGTGTGAGAGGAAAGAATACCAGGGTGCGACACCATGTGCGAGGTGGCGTCGGTATCGAGGAACCAGTCACTGCCGCCGCCGTGGGGAGTGTTCAGAGACATCCCATTGAGAGCCGTGTAGAGCCCTGGCAGGATGGTGCCGGGATCATGCTGCGTCGTGGGCGCGGCGAGGGCTGTCATGGCGGACGGAGGAGCGACGCCTGGACGCGGCGAGAGGACGCCTGGGCGCCAGGCATTGAGGGGCCACGCCTGAACCACCCCCTGCCATGGGTTGTAGGACGGCGCCCACTACGGCAGAGGGGGCGCGTTGTTGCCGGAGTTGGACGAAGGAGGAGCGTTCTGGCGGTTGCGGTTGTCCGCCTTGCGCTTCTTGCGGCGGTCACCACCACCACCAGACGGCGCGGTGGACGCAACCGCAGGCGAGGGCGGTGGAGGAGCAGGTGCAGACTTGGGGACAGCGGTAGACGAGGTTTTGTCCCGGGCAGCGAGGAGAGCCGTCTGAGCCTCCATCTGGAGCGAGTGCTTGATGCGGTTCTCCTCCTGCAGGAGATAGGACTTGGTGTAGAGGAACATCGGCGGCGGTGTCATGGTGGAGAGCACAGCAATCGCATGACTGAACTTGTTGTTCAGCCCGCGCAGCGTGTTGATGACGAGAGCCGGGTCGGAGACGGCGGCGCCGCAGTCGTAGAGGGTGTCGGCGAGCCGCTTGAGGCGGCCGCAGAACTCGCCAATGGACATGTCGCCCTGGAAGAGGCTATGGAACTCTTGCTAGGCGTAGACGGCGCGTTGAAGGCTGTTGTCCAGGAATTGCCCGGTGATGGCGGACCACGCGGCGTAAGCGGTGCTGCGCGGTTTGAAGACGTCAGTCCAGATGTCCTTGGACACCGTGGAATAGAGCCATGACACGATGCAGGCATCGATCTACAGCCACTCGGGGTCATCAGTCATGGCGGCGGCGTCCACCGTGCCATCGATGTGACTCAGCAGCCCGAACTTCTTGATGGTGAGCTCAAAGAAGGAGTGCCACTGACGGAAGTTGCCGTCGTCGGTGGCAAGAGTTACAGGGACATGGCTGTGGATATTGATGAGAACGAGTGTGGTGGCTGGGGGAGTAGGTTCGCCGGCCGCAGCGAATGGGTTGGAGGAGATGGAACCGTCTATGGCCGGAAAGCAGCAGAAGATGAGAAAGAGGATCAATGGTCGACTGATACCATGTAAGAAAGCAATTTGGGAAGAATGACCGCAGCT